AAAAAAAAAAAAAAACTCTCGATTTTATCATAAAGTTAAAAATCGCTGTCAACGGTTCTATGGCCGTTAATATTTTAGGAAACTATTAAGTTATATTTAAGGTTTAGAAAAATTAACCTTTACAACGATGATGATAAACTAAAAAGTTTGTAAAAATTAAATTAGAATTCCAAATATATATATAGATATATATTTAGTGAAATACAATACTAAGATATACGTTTATTTACATATAACGATAATAAAACTACAATAAATCAACTTGTATTTATTTATTCCTCCTTTTGATGTTCAGGTTTATGACTTGTCTCATAATCAACATGTACAAAAGCTCTTTCTACATTTGCCAATTTTTCTAATTTAATTTGAAGACTTTCACCAATATCATGACTTTCCCAAAGAGGAGTTTCTCGATCCATAACAATATCTACTTCCACAAAAAGGTTAGCTCCTGCATGATAAGCCCGGCAAGTATCAACTTGAAGAACTTTCGGATGATGTGTTAATGCTATAATAAAAAAAAAATTTCTTTAACCAAATTTGTTTCGACAAGAAACGGTTTTAGTTTGTGGGAAATAGATATAGTTTGTGGCTTAGAAACATACCAATATACGTAGCACGTTGTAAGAACCCAGGATCTGCACTTTTACCAACAATCAATTTGATTTGTTCTGGATTAAATATGTAGATAGATAAATAAATAAATAAATGTATATATGTATAAGTGAGAACGGGATTTTAAAATTCTATGAAATTCCAAATCAACTTAAATCCCATGTATACATATTATTATATTATAATTATATGATTATTTGTCATTACCATAAGCAGTATTCGTCCAGCTCCAAAAAATAAATAATGCTATAATTATAGCACCGGCAGGATCTATCCACCACAAAAGATTTGTTCCTAACAATGCCATAACCAAGCCAAAGGAATTGATAACCAAATCATTTCGGTGATCTTGTGCGAGAATGCGAGCCGTTTGAAATTTACGTTGTGTCCAACAATAAATTGAAAGCACGGTCTTGGCGGCTAAAATAGATTATATATATATATATAGATTAAAATATATTATATTTATATATATATATATAGGTTTGATGTTAAAAATTCATAAATTTAGTGACGTATCGCTTATAGTTTTTTTTTTTTATAATAAACATAAAATAATTGCATAATTGAAATATATTATATGAAGGTTTTCAATACGAAAATTTTATCTCATTTATTCGTAAAGTATAAACCCTCATATCAGATATAGTGTGAAATTTTTTATACGTTTATTGTAAAAAATAAAAATAAAAAAAATAACCAAATTTTAATGTATGATGCAATACTTTCGGCTATAATTGTATAATTGAATCATTAGATATACCTAAGCCAAAAGCTACAAATAGTATAGGAATCAAATTAACTTGTTTATGTTCCTCTTTCATAACAAGTGATTTGATTGCTTCTACCTGTGATATATAATGATTATTAAAGTTAGTTAATAATATATTATATGATTATTAAAGTTAGATAATCATGCATTTAATAAATTTAATAATCAATAGAACTTACAATGAGTTGAATTGATACGGTTGTCATCAATGATGAAAATACTATAATTCCGGCTGTTTCTACACGTGATTTACCCTATACGTGCAATATATTTAGATTTAATAAAAAAAAAAGTTTTATAAAAAAGTGATGCTGAATTTTAATAAAATTTTATAGAATTTAAATGAATTTATCGTTATATTAAATATGGGCGAATCCAGACCAAAATATTATTATTTATGTCATATCGATTCATATAAAATTGGTCTGGGTTCAAAAATAATTACCCATATTTACAATATCATGATTGCCGTATTACATACAGAAATATAAATATAAATTCCGTATTTTAGAATTAATCAATATCTCCTGTAGTATAGGCGACTTCAATTTATAATCAATTAATTAATAATAAATTTTTATTAAAAGTGATCGCCTATATTGCAAAAGACCTGAATTTCGTGCGTATGCATATAATACGGAATTATATTAAATGTATATTCGATATAATTGATAATTGTTATTATAAGTGGATTTGGAATTTCTAATAAAATTATAATTTTTTTTAAAAAATTATAATTTTTAGAGTAGAATTTATTTTATATAAATCTACACCTTTAACTCAAATTCTAAAAAGTAATTCCAATCCACTTAAATTCCGTTCAACCAACATAATCCATTTAAATTCCATTAAAAAAAAATTCCACACCACTTTTTTTTTCCATATAAAAAAAATTATTATATATATTACGGTTGGATATTGTAAAATGTTTTTCACATTAGCTGCTTTTCCGGCGAATAATAATATAGCTGTTGATAATAAATCCATAAAAGAATCCGACATTGTCGCAAAGAGAGAAATGGATCCAGTACTGATTGCTGCATATAGTTGAAGTGCGAATAATAAAATATTAACGGCCATAGAACCGTTGACAGCGATTTTTAACTTTATGATAAAATCGAGAGTTTTTTTTTTTTTTT